TCAGGCTACTGTGGAAACAGTGGAATTAGATCCTGTCCCACAGTCACAGACTCCTTCACCTCCTCCTGTGACTGCTGCTGACCCAGCATCACCAGCACCAGCCTCAACAGAGTCACCTGCTTTGTCCCCTTGCATTGTAGTTAATTCCACACTTTCATCTTATGTGGCAAACCAGGCATCCTCAGGGGCTGAAGGTCAGCCCAATATTACCAAGTTGATTATTACCAAACAAATGTTGCCTTCTTCTATTACCATGTCTCAGGGAGGAATGGTTACTGTTATCCCAGCCACTGTGGTTACCTCCCGTGGGCTCCAGTTAGGCCAAACAAGTACAGCTACTATTCAGCCCAGCCAGCAGGCCCAGATTGTCACTCGGTCAGTGTTGCAGGCAGCAGCTGCAGCTGCTGCTTCTATGCAACTGCCTCCACCCCGACTCCAGCCTCCTCCATTGCAACAGATGCCTCAGCCCCCAACTCAACAGCAAGTCACCATTCCGCAGCAACCGCCCCCACTTCAGGCCATGCAACAGCCTCCACCTCAGAAAGTTAGAATAAATTTACAACAGCAGCCGCCTCCACTGCAGAGCAAGGTTGTGCCTCCACCCACTCTAAAAATGCAGACTGCCCTGATCCCTCCAGCTGTGGAGAGCAGCCCTGAGCAGCCTCTGACCTGCAGCCCCGAGGCCCATACAGCGGAGGCAACCTCTCCTGAGACAATTTGTGAAATGATCACAGATGTAGTTCCTGAGGTGGAGTCTCCTTCTCAGATGGATGTTGAATTGGTGAGTGGATCCCTGTGACACTGTCACCTCAGCCTCGATGTGTGAGGTCTGGCTGTGAGAACCCTCCTGTCATCAGTAAGGACTGGGACAACGAGTACTGCAGCAATGAGTGCGACAGGGATGTATTCTTGGCCTGGGTGGCCTCTAGAAATCCAAACTCCGTGGTGTTTGTAAAGTAGCCTTTCCTCTTCTCCAAGCCTTGAAGATTCATCCGCTGGACACAAGTCCAGGAGCCTGTTTTTGAAACACAAGCTGGGCTTCTTCTGGTAGTGCCTGACCTTTACACCCATAGTCCTTCATGCTCCCACCTTTTCTTCAGCAGAGGCCAGACTAAGGAACAGGGCCAGCGAATTTACTGTGATTTGGAATTGCTTTCACTCTCAACTACAAGCAAAACTGCCAGGTTAATAATACAGGGAAGGGTGAAGGGAAGATGGAAGCAAATCATAGAGGATTATTAGAAGAAATGTGTTGGTAAAATTGTCAGAGCCTTGCCTAAAATGTTACTGGGAAAGTGCTCAGCTCTGTTCTTAGGAGGAGACAGCCCTGGGATGGGGCTTAGGGCTACAGCTCAGTGATAAAGGGCATTGGGCATAAGTCCCAAGAGGAATGAAAATACTGAGCTAAAATAACCCCCCCTTTTAAAAGGGAATTACTATTATTAATCTACACAGTGCTTTAAGAACAAAGATTTGTGGGGCTGGGGTTATGGCCTAGCACTAACAAAGCTCTGAGTTACGTCCCCGCAGAAAGATCAGGAGTTCAAGGTCATCCTCAGCCACCAGTAAGTTTGAAACCAGTTTAGGCTACACAAGGCAAAGGTAGAATAAAGGTTTTGCAGAGCATGGTGGCCCATGCCTTTAATTCCAGTATTTTGGAGGGGAACATAGGTAGATTTCAAAAAACAGAGGCTGGGTATGGTGCACTCTTCCTTTAATCCCAGCAGTTGGGAGGTAGAGGCAGGTTGGATCTGAGTTTGAACTAGCCAGAGTTACACAGTGAGATCCTGTCTCCAGGTCCCCTCCCCGTTCCTGACACACACACACACCTCTCTCAGCACATTGGGCTGGAGGGGAAATGACATCATCCAGGATTTTTTTTTCTCTACAAGCATTTCTGCAGTCAAAACTTTCTTTACCTGACTTGATTACCAGTTTTGCATGTAAGAGGCAGAACTCTATACCCTTAATGAGAGGTTTTGCAAAGTAAAGTTATGTTTGAAACATCAAAAAAAAAAATACCAATCCAAATTCCCACTCCCTCCTCTTCTCCCATTCCCTCCATACTCCCTCCCACATCAACCCCACCTAAATTCTAAGAGAGGGTAAGGCACACTGCTTTGTAGAAGGTACAAGCCCCTCCCTACTATATCTAGGCTGAGCAACGTATACATCCAAAGAGAAAAGGATCCCAAAAAGCCAGTACATGCAGTAGAGATAAATCCTGGTGCCAATGCCAATGGCCCCTCAGTCTGCCTAAACCATGCAACTGTCAATCACATTGAGAGGGACTAGTTTGGTCCTATACTTGTTCCTTGCCAGTCTAACTGAAGTTGGTGAACTCCGACTAGCTCAGGTAAACTGTTTCAGTGGAGAACCCATCATGGTTTTGACCTCTTTGTTCATATTTCCATTCCTTCCACTCTTCAACTGGACCTCGGGAGCTCAGTCCAGTGCTCCATTATGGGTCTCTGCCTCTGTTTCTATCTGTTGTTGTATGAATATTCTATAGTGATATTTAAGATAATCATTAGTTTGACTACAGTGAAAGTCAAGATTGGGCCCTCTCTCCTCTATTTCTTAGGGTCTTAGGTGGTGTCATCCTTGTGGATTCCTGGGAATTTCTCTAGAGTCAGGTTTCTGCTAACCCTATAATGTCTCCCTCAATCAAGATATCTCTTTCCTTGCTCTCATCTCTGTCCTTCCTCCATCTCGACTCTCCCATTCCCTCAAGTTCTCAGCCCTCCCCTTCTCTCCTCCTCTTCTGCTTCTACACTCCTGTCTCCCCCTGCACCCATGCTTTCAATTTTGTCAGGTGATCTTGTTTGTTTCCAATTTCCAGGTATGTCTCTATATTTTTTCTTTGGGTTCACTTTATTACTTAGCTTCTCTAGGATCATGAACTATAGGTTCAGTGTCCTTTGTTTATGGCTAGTATTACAAATAACGCTGCTATAAACAGAGTTGAACATAAGCTTTTGTAGTATGATTGAGCATCTTTTGGGTATATGCCCAAGACTGGTATTAATGCAATGATCTTTAAAGTTTCATTTTATAAATGTATTTTTGACTTCTGTTTTAAAGTTAAGGCATTTTAAAAATATTTAGGTTGGTGTGTTTTATCAGTCTCTTTCTTGATCCCATGTCTCCTAGCAGCTGCCGCTTGCCCATAAGCCACCAAAAAATTCAAAATCAACACAATAACATATAGGATCCAGATTCCCTGTGTATTTCCCATCTTTACATGAATTTTTCTCTTATATTATTTTTACTGTCTCTTTAAAGGCTTTGTTGTATTTTTAAACTATTTATTTCTATAACTACCCTTGCCCATTTTCTTTTCTTCTTAAGCCTATGTACATTGTAAAACCAATTGGAACCTGTTTAGAGGCTTTTCTTTCTGGACCTCTTTTACTGTGTATTGTTTAGCTTTTTTTGTCTATATGATCAAAAGCTAAATCCACCATGCAGCATGCTGCATGGTTTTGAGACACCTCTATGTACCAGGGCTGGAATCTTCCATGCTATGCTCAAGCCCACAAGCCAGATGAGAGACACAACTAGGAAGCTATTTTTGCCTCCATTTATGTGTTCTAGCACCCTTTTTTTTAAACTTTCTCAGGCCCTGTGGAAATTCAAGAGCCTTGTGTTGGTATGTCATTTGTAAATGGAGGCTCTTCCTCTTGCTGGGTCACACAACCGCTTTTATAACTACTCAGAGGCTTAATATTAACTATAAATATTTGGCCAATAGCTCAAGCTTATTATTAGCTAGCTCTTACATTTAAACTAACCCATTTCTATTAATCTATGTATTACCATGTGACTGTGGCATTACCTCATTTTCTATATGTCACTCCATAGGCAGCTTCTCTTGTATTTTTGAGTGGATATCCTACCTGGTGCTATCCTGCCTTGCTATAGGCTAAAGTAGCTTTATCAACCAATGAGAGCAACACATATTCACAGCATATAGAAAGACCTCTCACATCAATTCCCTTTTAGTATATTTATTAAAACCCCAAATTCCAGTCAAATAATCACAGTTACCTGTTTTTGAAGTTGGGGAATTACATTTTATGGCAAGTCTCTTAATGTCCACAATTAAAGACTTCAGTGGTAACCCATCACAACAACAAACTGAGCACCTTGAAGTTAGAAGTTGTCCAGTAGATTTATGCTGATAGAGACAGTCTAACATACCCCACTGTTTAATGACTATCAAACAATTGTGTATGTTCTTATAAGTGAAAACTTTTGGAAGGAGTTCCATAAACTGCTGCTGTCTTAAGTGCACTTGTTTTGAGAAACTTCCACTCATGGCTGTAACATACAGTTACAATGCTGAATTTAGGAATATCTTCCTTGACTCACATGTTTCTATACTCTAAACAGCACCAGCAGGTGAATAAGAGCCTATCTCACTCTGAAATTGTAACCATTTCTCTAAAGCTCAAACTTCTTAAGCAGCAAGCCTGATACCTGGGGATACCAAAAGCAGCTTAGCATCAGCCCCTTCGTTTTTACATTTCCACCTAAAAGATGTTATGAAGGCAAGGCCAGCTCACCTCCAAATTAAACTCATTTTCCCATTCAAACCTACATCTCCTTTCATATTTTGGGTGCTCCTAGCTCCAGCCATTTAGTACCCGAATTTATAAACCTAATAGTTGTTTTTGATTTCCCTCTCCCTTATCTTCACATCTACCCACTAGCATACCAGTTGATGACAAGAAAGCCAAGTCCTATTATGGTAGCCAATGAAATGGTCTGGAAATTTACACATGAAACCCCTCATTTTTTAGTTTAGTACTATTTTTTATTGTTTTTATTGAACTATATATTTTTGTCTGCTCCCCTCCCTTCCTCTCCCATGACCCCCATGTGCCCAATTTACTCAGGAGATCTTGTCTTTTCCTCCTTCTTATGTAGATCCATGTATGTCTCTTTTAAGGTCCTTTTGTCTAGGTTCTCTGGAGTTGTGGACTGTCGGTTGATTTTTCTTTGCTTTATGCTTAAAAGACACTTATGAGTAAGTAGATATTATATGTGTCCTTCTGTGTCTGGGTTACCTTACTCAATATGTTTTTTCCTAGATCCATCCATTTGCCTGAAAATTTCAAGATGCCATTTTTTTTTTACTGCTGAGTAGTACTCCATTGTGTATATGTATCACATTTTCCTTATCCATTCTTTGGTCTAAGGACATCGAGGCTATTTCCAAGTTCTGGCAGTAATGAATAATGCTGCTATGAACATAGTTGAGCACATGTCCTTGTGGTACAATTGAGCACCCTTTGTGTATATACCCAAAAGTGGTATTACTAGGTCTTGAAGAAGGTTGTTTCCTAATTTTCTGAGAAATCGCCAAACTGATATCCAAAGGGGCTGTACCAGCTTGCCCTCCCGCCAGCAATGGAGGAGTGTTCCCTTTACCCCACAACCTCTCTAGGATAAGTTGTCATCAGGTTTTTGATCTTGGCCATTCTGATAGGTGTAAGATGGAATCTCAGAGTTGTTTTGATTTGCATTTCTCTGGTGGCTAAGGATGTTTAACATTTCCTTAAGTGTCTTTTAGTCATTTCAGATTCTTCTGTTGAGAGTTCTCTGCTTGTGTCTGTACCTTATTTTTATTGGATTATTTGTTCTTTTGATGTCAAGGAAAACCCTCATTTTGAAATCTTAAAATGTTGCCAAGTCCCAATTCAAACACCATGCATCATGTGACTATCTCTTACGAATGAGTAAATTTTAAGAAAGGGAGGCAAAACCCTTGTTGATCATCTGGTCACATCCCATCAGCCCCACTCAACCTATTCAGGGAAAGGACTCATAGAGACAGAGGAATGAGTAGCAACAAAAGCCTGACACTTTGAGGATAGATATCTCTTGCCTGCCTCCCTTGTCCTAAAAGAGGAGGTGGGCATGATCCTCCCCTCCAGACAAGAGGAGCAAGTCACAGCCTGCAGGATACCAAAATAGAAGATGGAGATGTGTTGAGTTGAGCTGTCCTCCTGGCAGAAGGAGGCATCTACAAAACACATTTAATTCCTGTCCACAAACAACTTCAACTCTGACATGAAACTGCCCATGCATGATTCAACTCCACAACTCACACCTGGGGGACAAATGGCAAGGGAAAATATTGACATCTTGTAGTAAGATGCTTGCAATACACTAAATTTTACATCAAGAATGTATATTTTCCAAGGATTTGACCTAAATTGCTAAGCCAGCCCTTATATTGTTTAGTAATTAGCCCTATCTGCATAGACACTTCAGCCTTGCAAACAACTAATATCATCATGTTCTCTAATTGGTATGGAAAAGATTGTACAGACTGGTTTCATTATTATTATTATTATTATATTTCTTTTTTTAATATTTATTTATTATGTATACAATATTGTGTTCGCGTGAATGCCTGAAGGCCAGAAGAGGGCACCAGACCTCATTCCAGATGGTTGTTAGCCACCATGTGGTTGCTGGGAATTGAACTCAGGACCTTTGGAAGAGCAGGCAATGCTCTTAACTGCTGAGCCATCTCTCCAGCCCTATTATTATATTTCTAGTAGAA